CCCGGCGCCGCGGCCCTAGCGCGGCCGGCCGCGGCGGGACCGAGCCCCGCACCCAGCGCCGCTTCCCCTCCGCCGCTTGGTGCTCCCCGCAACTTGCACCGTCGGGCACCTTGTTATTATTATTATTAAAACTTTGCAACTTCAAGGCACTTTTTTTTTTGAATATTTTTCTTTTCCTCCCGGATTTTTCATGCGCTGTCCCGAAGCCGTGTGCTAAGGTAAGACGGGCAAGAGGGTGTGTGTGTGTGTTGGGGGGCTCAGCTTGCTGCTACCGGCACCGTGACTTTTGCAGCGTCMGGACAAAAAGTTTTGTCGGGTGACGGGATTTGCTGGGTGTTCTTGGTGGCTGGAAACTCTACGGGGCTCCCGTGAGTGGAGAACCAGGAGGGATTCCCCCTCCTGCCCTTCCCTCTCCGGTGCTTCTGATGCTTGCAGTCAAATTCAATTGATGGGGAATACAAAACACCAAAGTCTGTAGGATTTTGGCAAGACCCTGTGCCCAGAAGCTCCGGCAAACTCAACTTTCTGCTCACTGAGTCCAGCTGCTGAAGAAGTAACAACTTAAGCAGGGTAGCTACTGTGTTGGGCCAAATTCTGGCCAGAGCCCGGTCTGATTTCTTGCTGTATCTGATTTCAGCAGCTTGTGCYTGACACTCGTTCGTGTGAACTGCCTGCAAATTAGGTCATTACTCACCGAGGCTGATTCAAAGTGTGTTTAAGTCCAGGAGAGTATTTCCCTTGACTGTAATGAATGTTTTGGGGTTTGGATGGTTCAGTTCTTATGGATTTGAGCAGCCGGGGGAACCCGGTGCAGACTTGCTCCTGTGTTTACAGGATGTGGCTGGAGGGGTGCTGCTGGATGCCATGTTCGTCTCCACCACCGCGCTTTTGCTTTACACCTTGGCCTTTAACAGATGAGCTCTTCCCAAATCCTGTAATTAATCCCTTGTATAACACCCTGCCCCTCCCTGTAACTTGCTCCTAGGACGAGGAGCAGCACTTTTCTTGTGGCACTGACTGCTTGCCGAATCCTCCTGGTTTGGGAAGAAAAAAGGCACTTGCCTTGTTTTAACCCTACAACACAGAAATGGTGCATGGAGTTGTGGGTTACTGAAGTGGCAGCTAGGGAAGTGGTCCAAACTTGCTGTAACTGCTTGAATTGAGTATTTATGGGCAGCCAGGCACTTCTGGCGTGGTGTCAGGGCTGAGCAGGGGAGCTAAAAGCGAGTGTGCCAAAACGGGCTTGCCCTGCCCTGGGGCTAGAGACCAGCAGCTGAAATGGTCACCCCTGCTCATGTGCAGAGGGCCCCAGAGCAGCTTCTGCTCCCCGATGAGACAAAAGACTTGATACAGGCTGGGAATGCCCCATTTCTGCTGCCCCAGCTTGTTTCTTTATCTGTATGTGCAGGTGCAATTAGTTCATTTAATTTGTGGTGGTTAAGGCAAGAGCRAGCAACTGCATGGGCTGAGATGGGACCCGAGGCCCTCTCCGTGGGGCCTGTGCAAGGAGGAGCAGGAGGTGTCACGTTCTGCATCCTCGGGGAAGGTCTGGCCGCCCGCGTGACGTGGGAGAAGCGGGCGCACGTAGGCGTGTGAACGGCGGAAGCGSCGGAGCTCTGCCGGCTCCGGGGAGCCGTGGGGGGATTGCCGCCCACCGGAGAGTTGGTGCTGCCAGGTACTGCCAGTCACGGGGGCAACAAGTTGATCTTCCATCTGGTTGCGGCATTGCCCTTGCTTCAGCTCCGCTTCAGGGGGAGATGCTCCCTCCTGCTCCCACCTCTGGCTGCCTGAGGTCTAATTGTGCTCAACCATCCTATTCTGTGGGGTTTCATTTCTTCCACCGTATCGGGGTCCTGGGAAATGGCAGCTGATGCTGGAAGAAGCTTCAGTGGGAGACCTGCTTTGTTCTTGGGGTGATCATCTTCAGCACTCTTGGCTGTAGTCTCTGAAACCCTGGGCATCTGAGCAGCAGCCGAAAACCACTGAGCTAATTGCAGCAGCCTGGTTACACCTGGAGCGGTTCTTTCTCCTTGTGTTATTTGCTTTGCCGGTGGGTCTCTCAAAAGCTCTTGAGACCTTAGAGGCTGTCTTGATTTTTTTTTTTTTTACACTTCCAGTATTATTAGGTGATTTAATAAAAATTACTGAGTCTCTGAGTCTGCCATAAATGATGCAGATTAAAAAAGAGAAGGGGAGAGTAAAACACTGAAGGTAGCTTAATGGTGTGTGTGTGTGTTCTTTTTTTTTTTTTTTTGACTGCCTGTTCCTGTGTTTTTGAGCAGAGTTATTGTTGTGGAACGGTGGCTTGGCATCTCCTGTGACTTGGTCCTCAGGAGCTGGGGCTCCTCTTTCAGATGGGGCCTGCCTGACTGCTGATTTTAGTGCGAATTCATTTTGGAGATGTGATGCATTGTTTGACCTGAAAGGATCAGAAAATGCGTGTAGGTGTGAATGGTGAAGGCTAACATGCATTTGTTAGCATTTCTCCTTAATTCTCCATTAAATTATGGTCTTAGTATAGTTTTCTTCTACAGTATGCAATGTGTAAAACTCTTAAAATTTGCCAGGGGGCCATTGAGGGACATTGCAGAGGGACATTTTACAAGTGTTGTGGAGCGTTTCAGTGCTGTGAGCTCAACAGCGTTGCCTTGGCTTGATAACTAAACAGGCAGCAAGGCGTGTTGGACATCYACAGCCTCTGTGGCAAACCTTGACTTTGCCTGGGCAATGGCTTTCTCATAGGGCACCAAAACTAGTAGTCAGCTGCACATCACACAACACAAAATGGATTTTTGAGCTGTGTAGGAGTGTGGTGGCACCAGCAGCCTGTCTCTCTCCAGCCCATAGGCCATCATCACAAGTTCATTAGAAATGAAAAACTGCTGAGTGGTGGTGGAGCTTTTGATGCAGCTGTTTCAAAAGGCAAGTATCCAAATATCTTCCAAGAAACAGCTTAAGTAATGTAGGTTGAGCTCCAGGAGTTTCATGCTGYGCTGATATTATCATCTGTAGTTTCTCTGCTCTTCTCTGAAAAGWGGGTCTTCCTGCATCTGCATATAGTCTTCTTTGACCACAGGAGTTCATCTTCCTGCTCCTGAGCAGGGTRCTGAGCTGCCTGTTGCTTACCCTGCTTCAGCTGGATCGAATTAAAGCAAACCACCATTGCTTTCAACTTGCTTGAGGTCTCAGCAAGCACATTTTCTCCAAACATCCTCTGTGTGTATACATGTCCATCATCGCTTCCTCAGTTCCAACCCGACCTCAGAGGCCTTCTCTAGCCTCAGGACCAAGCTCTGATCTTTGTATCTGAACATGCCAGTGTGTCCCTTCTAGTTGGGTGTTTTTTGTAGGTGGGCTGTGGTGTATCCCATGGTGCCGGTGGTGGCAGCATCTCTGCCTCTTGGGATGCAGGATTATGTGTTAGCAACCTCAAATGTGGGCACTGCAGCTGCTGCTTGGGGCCTATGGAGGCAAAGAGAAGTTAGGTCAACTGATAGAAGAAATGGGGAAAATGAAAATCCTTTGCTTCTGGTTGCCCATCTCCTACTGGGAGATCCAGCTGTCCAGAGCCAAAGTATTCCTCAAAATCTGGTCTATTCATTGTGTATCTGCCTAACTCTGGAGCCAAGGCCCCAAATTCTGTCTAAACAGCTGATAAGTTTTGCAAACATTCTGGGTCCTTGCAAGACACTTACTGAATCCGTCAGCAAGCGACCAAATGTGTCCAAGTGGGTTAACTCCAGGACACCTCACCTGAGGTCCTGAAGCATCCCCAGTTACCTGGGATGAGGTACAGTCACCTGTGGTTGAGTCGGGTTCAGCTGCTCTTTTGTGGCCTTTTCTATCTTGAAAACAGCTCAGCTTTTTGTGTGTCTRTGACATAGGGCTTCCCAGAGGACTGGCAGGCAGTGAAAGGGCAGATGCTCCCGGCAAAAAAGAAGACGCTGTTATTTTCTGTATTTTAATAGCAGTAGTTTTAGGCAAGTAATGAGCATTAGGACCAAAAAACACTAGAAACAGCTTCTGTTCCTCTTTCAAAGTGATTTTGGAAAAATGAACGACGTGTTTGCTGAAAAATGCAGTAAGCAGAGATAGAAATATCTTAATTAAGAAAAGAGCACATCTTTGAAGGTGAACATGGAGGGACGGAAGAAACACCAGCAGGAAGCAGAGTGGCTTCTTGCTCCCTCGAGGAGCATCTCGTGTTAGAAAGGCTCCATCAGCAGCATCTCCTCGAGATGCTGAAGACCACGGAGCCTGGCTGGAAAGCACAGCAGAGCACTTCCAAAACTGCCTCTCATCTTTGTGCCTGACCCAATGTGCAACGGGTGGCAGGTCC